CCTACAATTTTGAAAAGCACAGACCATTCATCAATTTCAATCAATTTATTTCCAAAAATAACTATTACTAAAAAGCATAAGTAACAATGTTTATTAAGAGACTTAAGGGTAGTTTTTCAATCAGTAAGAATGGTTTTCCTGCCATTTTAAGTCAGAAGATAATTTCTTTAATACAAAAAAAATCATATTTTCAAACAAAAAACTATGCAATGTTGATTTAGAATACAGATGGCAAAACTACTATAAATTCAGTAATGTTTTTAATGTTTTAAAATGTATTTGTACTTAATCACAATATTTACACACAATAAGGAACACAGTATGTATATATAGCAAAGCATTTTTCAGTTTACATGTAATATTCTGAGTACTGTTTATAAATTCATTAATTCCTTGCAATAATCATACTGTGGGATATTTTAACGTATTCTAAAAATTCACCATTTGATAGAGACAACCCATTACCATTAAAAAGAAAAATGGAAGGAAGGAAGGAGGGAAGGAAGGAAGAAAGGAAGGGGGGGAGGGGGAGAGGGGGAGGGGGAGGGGGGAGGGAGGGACTTTTTGCCCATCCTCTGTCCACTGATCCATCTTTCCACTTATCTTCTCTCCCATTGACTCAATTTTTAAAAATTACGAGATGCAGTCCTATATATACATTATATATTTGATACAGATGATAAACATACAGTGTAATATAGAATTGATAGGAGCTTTTCCTACTTTCAGCATCAGGATAGGATTGGTAACACATTTCTTTTAATAAGAAATTATATCTTAAAACATGGTTCTAATGTGTTTTTCATATTCCATCTTCAACCATCTTGCATCTGATACGTAATAATATGCATATCGGCATATTATTGCACTCCTATTTGCTCAATATTTTCTTCAAATATTTTTTCAAGTTATCAAACCTTTTCTTACTTAAATTAATTTTAAAGGAAATCTTTATATCCCTACCATAAAAAAAATCCAGAATCATGCATTATAAATATAACAGAACCGTAAGAACCATAAGAAGATATTGTTAAATTCTAATGACAAACTGCTTCTTGCTCATTTTTAAAATTATAAATTACTGTAAAGATACAGAGTATTACTGAGGAAACAAAGCCACTATCCACCTTTCTTTTATCAAATAAATATTGATGAAGTTGAAATCTGAGCATTTCTCAGTAATTCACTGTATATTTAATGTAATTCATAATCTTAAAAATATTAACATGAAAAGCTTCCATTTTATCTTCCCTGAGCTGCTTTGGTGTATTTTCTTATATACAACAAACATACAGTGTTAGTTTCGTTTTTAAAATTTCCATCATTAACTTCATATTGTACATATCCTTCTACAGTTTACTTTTTGCATTCAATTTTGTACTAAAAATGTATCCATTCAAGTTAATACATCTTGACAGTTCATTTAAACTGCCCAATAGCAAACACTGTATGTATTAGGTGAGTGCAAAAGTAATTGCGATTTTTGCATTGTAGGAATTTGGTGTTTGATACTGGAATATATTCTTAAATAAATGTGGTTACGTTTTACCTCATTTTAATGGGCATTTCTCATTTTATGTATTTTTGCTAATTACTTATTACTTGCTGTTTATTTTAGACTATGAAAATGATGTTACACAAAAAGCAAATTCAAAGCACTTTGGGAGGCTGAGGCGAGCAGATCACTTAAGGTCAGGAGTTTGAGGCCAGCCAGGACAACATGGTGAAACCTCATCTCTATGAAAAATACAAAAATTAGCCAAGAATGGTGGTGGGTGCCTATAATCCCAGCTACTGGGAGGCTCAGGCAGGAGAATCGCTTCAAGCTGGGAAGTGGAGGTTGCACTGCACTCCAGCCTGGGCAACAGATGAGACTCTGTCTCCAAAACAAAAATAAAAACAAGAAGCAAATTCAAGCAATTTTTACTTATTTGACTTCAAAACGGGTCATAAAGCAGCAGAGACAACTCACAACATCAACAATACATTTGGCCTAGGAACTGCTAATAAACATACAGTGTGGCGGTGTTGGTTCAAGGAGGTTTTTTTTTTTATTTTTTTTTTGAGACAGCGTCTCACTCAGTCACCAGGCACCAGGCTGGAGTGCAGTGGCGCGACCTCGGCTCACTGCAACCTCCGCCTCCTGAGTTCAAGCAATTCTCCTGCCTCAGCCTCCCGAGTAGCTGGGACTACAGGTGCATGCCACCATGTCCAGCTAATTTTTTTGGGTTTTTAGTAGAGGCGGGGTTCCACCATGTTGGCCAGGATGGTTTCGATCTCTTGACCTCGTGATCCACCCACCTTGGCCTCCAAAAGTGCTGAGATTACAGGCATGTTTGTTTCCACTTATTTACCCAGTCCCTTAAGTAATATTTGGGTTTTTTTTTCCTACTAGAAGTAATGTTACAATAAATGCTTAATGCAGAGTTCCATGTGCTCAATTTCCTTTTCCTGTGTGTGAGATTTTCCTGTTTACTAATTATTTGAGGGAGGAAGGTTGGAAGCTTAAAACCCAAATTTGCATCAAAGCTTTAGCAAGAATATTAAACAGAACAGTGCATTTCATACACAAAAATATTCATATCTTCATATTTTCCATCTTTATATTCCATTTGTCACATTTTATTATTCATTTTTAACAACCTATATTTTGCAACACTGTCTTGAACTTTAAAGCTTTGTTATTTCTGGTGCAAGAAAGGGCATAAAAAATGGCACACTTTTCATTTACTATGGCACTTGAGTTACTTAATTCTGGTGTTCTAGCGAGTCTCAATGATCTCATAAAGTAGAGGAGAAGAGCATTTTGTTCGCAAAGCTACCATCTACATTTCGAGAAAGTAAGCTATGAAACACTATACAATTATTAGCAGCATATTAAAAATATATCTGAATAATTTGAGAGGTCAGATAATATATTAACACATAGGATTTCTAAAAAACATTTATGCATAAACCATTATGGCTCTTCAGTTCCTCATAAAGGAACAAGTAAACATAAGAAAACTTATTGTATTCCCTAAGTTTCATAGGTAAAGATGAGACACTTACTAAATATGCTTGCTGAGAAAATTTTAAAGAAAAAAGTGGTATGTCAATTGGTAACACCAATTGACTGAATTATGACTCTTTTTAACAGCAACAATTTCTTAACACAAATATTAAAGTCCTAGTTCAGTGATTCACACCTGTAATCTCCTACTATGTTGGAGGCTGAGGCAGGAGGACTGCTTGAACCCAGGAGTTCCAGAACAGCATGAGCAACACAAATGCCATCTTTAAAAAGAATTTTAAAAAATTAGCCCAGCATGGTGACATACACTTACAGTCCCAGCTACTGGCAAGGCTGAGGTGGGAGAATCACTTAATTCCAGGAGGTCAAGACTGCAGTGAGCCGTGATTGTACCACTGCACTCTAGCCTTGGCAACAGAGCGAGACCGTGTCTCAAAAAAAAAGAAAAAATATATTAAATATACATTTTCTCCTTTGGACAAATTCAACCTAAATTTAAAAATCACGTGGAAAGTAAAAAAGTTATTGCTTTTGTGAACAAAAAGGAAGACAACTACTGACTTAACATATAACTACCTTGGAGGAGGTCAGTTTAAATTATCTACAAGGCACAGATGGAACTACATTTGTAGCACTCCAGTAGGATCTCAACTGTACTGTCACAGGATTCAGTGAATCTCTTCTGGAAAAGGATCAGGGCATGGAAGATTTCCAAAAATGCAAAGGGTGGACAGTGGCATGAAAGAGAAAAATGAGCATTTATTTTATATTTACTCTTCTGGGCCCTGTTTTAACTACATATTCCTTCAAACATCAACAAAAATCCCATAAGGTGGGCCTTGTGATCTCTTTTTTAAAAATACTGAAAAAAAAAAAAAAGTCCAAAGAAGTGGCTGAAACTCTTAATCAAAGCTAAAAGCTGAGTTTTTCTTCCTTTGGACAAATTCAATTTAAATTTAAAAATCATGTGGAAAGTAAAAAGGCTCTTGCTTTTATGTGTGGACGAAAAGGAAGACAACTACTGACAACATTACATATACCTGGAGGAGGTCAATTTAAATTATCTTCCATGCCTTGATCTTTTTCCAGACCAGATAGCAGGTCTATCCAATTCCAAATTATTTCTGTACTATAGCTTTTAATGTCACATAACAATGTAGCTAACACTGAGGACTTACTCTGGGTACTAAGTATCCCACAGTATTGTATCACATAAGCCTATGGAGCATACGCCCATGGAGCCAGATGCTTTTCTAGTCTCATTTTACAAAGGAGGAATCTGAGGCCCAAGAAAATGGATGGATGGCAGTCAGGAGGCAGAACTAGACTGCAGCTCCAACTCGGATGGACAGAGCAGCGTGTGAGAAGGCTTGCACCATGAATTTTTGCTCCAGAACAACTGTAGGAATAAATCAGGAAACCTGAGAGGACACAAAGACCCCCTAAAGGAAGCAGATTGCTCCTGCAGGACCCAGAAGACACCCTAAATATCGTGCTAGTATCCACAGCTGAGAGACTCATAGATGGGTTCACATCACAGGACTCTGCGGACAACCCACAATACCAGCCCAGAGCCTGGTAGACAAGCTGGGTGCCTAGATCCAGAAGAGAAATAATCACTAGAGCTCGGCTCCCAGGAAGCCACATCCATAGGAAAAGGGAGAGAGTACTACATCAAGGGAACAACTCATGGAACAAAAGAATCTGAACAACGGCCTTCAGCCGTAGACCTTTCTGCTGATAGAGCCTGCCCAAATGAGAAGGAACCAGAAAACCAGCTCTGGTAATATGACAAAACAGGGTTCATTCGCATCCCCCAAAAATCACACTAGCTCACCTGCAATGATAACAAACCAAGAAGAAATCCCTGAGCTATCTGAAAAAGAAATCAGGAGGATGATATTTACTAAGCTAATCAGGGAGGCACCAGAGAAATGTGAGCACAATGTAAGGAAATCAGAAAAATGATACAAGAAGTGAAGGAAGAAACATTCAAGAAAACAGCACAAATAAAAAAAGAAATCAAAACTTCAGAAAACAATTAACACACTTATAGAAATGCAAAACGCTCTGGAATATCTCAGCAATAGAACTGAACAAGTAGAAAAAAGAAATTCAGAGCTTAAAGACAAGGTCTTCAAATTAACAAAATCCAACAAAGACTAAAAAAATAAATAAATAAGGAAGAAAGGCTCCAAACAGTCTCGGCTTATGTTAAACAACCAAACCTAAGAATAATTGATGACCTGAGGAAGAAGAGAAATCTAAGTTTGAAAAACATATTTAGGGGAACAATCAAAGAAAACATCCCTTGCCTTGCTAGAAACCTAGACATTCAAATACAAGAAGCAAAAGGAACACCTGGGAAATTCATCGCAAAAATATCATTGCCTAGGTACACTGACATCAGGTTATATAAAGTTAAGATGAAGAAAAGAATCATGAGAACTGTGAGACAAAAGCACCAGGTAATCAATAAAGGAAAACCTATCAGATTAACAGAAGTTTTCTCAGAAGAAACCCTACAAGCTAGAAAAGACTGGGGCCCTATCTTCAGCCTCCTCAAACAAAATGATTATCAATCAAGAATTTTGTATCCAGTGAAACTAAGCTTCATATATGAAACAAAGATACAGTTTTTAATCAGACAAACAAATACTGAGAGAATTCGCCACTACCAACCCACCACTAAAAGATCTGCTAAAAGGAGCTCTAAATCTTGAAACAAATCCTGGGAACACATCAAAACAAAACCACTTTAAAACACAGATAATTTGCCATGATCAAGTGGGTTTCATAAGAGGGATACAGGGATGGTTTAACATAGGCAAGTCAATAAATGTGATACAACACATAAGAAGAATTTAAAATCACATCATCTCAATAGATACAGAAAAATCACTCAACAAAATCCAGCATCGCTTTATAATTAAAACTCTCAGTAAAATCAGCATACAAGGGATATACCTCAATATAATAAAAGCCATCTACAACAAACCCACAGCCAACATAATACTGAATGGGGAAAAGTTGAAAGCATTCCCTCTGAGAACAGGAACAAGACAAGGATGCCCACTCTCACCACTCCTCTTCAACACAGTACTGTAAGTCCCAGCCAGGGCAATCTGACAAGAGAAAAAGATAAGTTAAACTGTTGCTGTTTGCTGATAATATGATTGTTTACCTAGAAAACCCTAAAGCCTCCTCCAGAACGCTCACAGAACAAATAAAAGAATTCAGCAGTTTCCAGATACAAAATTAATGTACACAAATCAGTAAATTTTCTATTCCCCAACAGTAACCAAACTGAAAATCAAATCAAGAACTCAACCCCTTTTACAACAGCTGCAAAAAAATAAAATAAAATACTTAGAAATGTTCCTAACAAAGGAGATGAAAGACCTCTATAAGAAAAACTGCAGAACACTGCTGAAAGAAATCACAGACAACCCAAACATATGGAAACACATCCCATCCTAATAAATGGGTAGAATCAATATTGTAAAAATGACCATACTGCCAAAAGCAATCTACAAATTCAATGCAATCCCCATCAAAATAGCACCCTCATTCTCCACAGAGTTAAAAAAAAAAACAATTCTAAAATTCATATGGAACCAAAAGAGAGCTTGCATAGCCAAAGCAAGACTAAGAAAAAAGAACAAATCTTGAGGCATCACATTACCTGATTTCAAACTATACTTTGATGCTACAGTCACCAAAACAGCATGGAACTGTTTTGGTGACTATAGCCTCATGGTATAAAAATAGGCACATAGACCAACAGAACAGAATAGAGAACCCAGAAATAAACCCAAATACTTAGGGCCAACTGATCTTCGACAAAGGAAACAAAAACGTAAAGCAGAGAAACAACACCCTATTCAAGAAATGGTGCTGGGATAATTAGCAAGCCATATGTAAGAGAATGAAACTGGATCCTCATCTCTCACATTATACAAAAATCAACTCAAGATGGATCAAGGACTTAAATCTAAGACGTGAAATTAAAAAATTCTAGAAGATATCAGAAAAACCCTCCTGGACATTGACTCAGGCAAAGACTTTATGATCAAGAACCCAAAAGCAAATGTAAAAAAGCAAAGATAAATAGGCAGGACTTAATTAAATTAAAGAGCTTCTGCACAGCAAAAGGATGTCAACAGCAGAGTAAACAGACAACCCACAAAGTGGGAGAACTCTTCACAATCTATAAACCTAACCAAGGACTAATACTCAGAATCTACAAAGAACTCAAACAAATTAGCAAGAAAAAAGCAAACAATTCCATCAAAGAGTTGGCTAAGGACATAAACAGACAATTTTCAAAAAAAGATACACAAATGGCAAACAAACCTATGAAAAAATGCTCAACATCACTAAGGAAAGTAACTTTGAAACAATCAATTTGCTTTTCGTTTCTTCTTTCGTTTTCCTCAGCCATTTTTGGCCTACAAAGCCAACCATCTCTGTTCAATCCATTCTATTTTATAGAATGAGGTGTTGCCCCTTAATATAAAAAAAAAAAAAAAAGCCAATTAAATCTTCAACCTAAATTTGTTGTACTTCTCTTTTAAGAAAAGAACAAAGGCTAAATCCATTGCTAGGTGAGAAATAGTACCAGTACAACACAGATTAATAAGACGTTAGTCACTCTTAAAAAGTGGATGCTTTATAAACGGAAAAATATTTTTTATTTACTTAAATGTGTAAATATCAACATCTACTAATTATATTTCACTTAAAATAGATTAAAAGACATTTAAAACTGCTTTATACGAGAAAATATTAGAGATAAAAGTTACTACTCTACCCATCCATCCAAATTAAAGAGACCTAATTTTGAAAATCAATTTAAGCAGAGGAATGCTATTTAATTTAAAGAAAAAATAAATCACTTTGATAATTACTCTCAAAGACACACTTCAATAAAACCATCCAAAAACCTAAATATGTAATAAATTTTTCCATTATTTTATCATTATGTTTGGCATTAATGATACCACTTAGTATTCTGCCGCTATAAAAGGCTGGTATCATTTTTCTAAAACAAAACAGGCTGTTAGCAGAAGCTATTTCAAATCTATACAAACAGACCTCAGAAAGTTTCTGTTAAATTTTTTTTCCTAAGAAGAAAGGTCAAAGAGGAAGAAGTTATTAGGAATACAGGGTGAGAAAATAAAACAAGTAATATTCAAAATAAAACCAAAAAATACAAACAGAAAAGAATGGCTTCACAGATTTTTTTCCATTTGCTTAGCCTAGCAACATAATCATTTTAATGGGTAAGAATGCCAAAAATATCTTAGAAAATGCACAATGCCATTATACCTAGATTCTTTTGAAGCATCGATGGCCATCATCAGTCGATAACGTACTTAAAAGGAAAACCCAATTGAGCACTAAAAGAACACAAATAGAAGAAATCAACAGTCTGAAACATTCATTTTTAGAAATAGTTGGTTACAGAAAACCAGCTGAAGAACACCATGGCCTGATCTTCTTTATTGAACATATAATGTATCCAACAGTAATCACAGGAGAATAGGCTTTTTCTTCATGCTTTTATATTTGCTTATTTGTTTTTCAAAGAAAAGCCCAACAAATATGGAAGTATTATTTTCATGACACATAAATTCCAGAAAATGATATGGCTATCCATAGTTTGTAGAACTTCTAAATCTAAGCTATTAGACTCCCTGAACTACCTCAAATGAAAAATATCAGCTTTAAGCTCTAAATCTAAACAAACAGTTTTCACATTACTGGAACATAACTTGTTTCATCTCACCACCTGCATTACAAAATATCATGGTCTTTTCATACCAGCTCCAATAAAACTACAATATTTATTGCTTTCACTATACCTACTGCATTTTATGATTCAGTGCTATTATACATATAAAATGACTGATCTGTCATATTTTGAAATTTTCAAGAAGTTACAAATACACCCATATAAATTCAGCTAGATTATTCTAGTAACATTTAAGAAAATGTTCCTTTGGCCAACTTGTTTGTTTACAAATTAAATTACATGACACAAAACTGATTTTCACCCACAGTTTTCGGAGTTCCCTTTCTTTATGTGGTTTTAGTTCATTCAAGCCCTCAGCATTTTTTACTACAAAATCCTTCTGGTACCTTCTAATATATACTTTACACCACATTGGTATCAGATGACTCAAAATCACATATCATGTCACTCTGCCTTAAAAATCTAATAATGGAAGTGACATCACCAACACGACAGAGTAGAACCCACTATCTTTCCCAACCCCATACCTGCCCCAACCCTAAAACTGAAGTCTTTCTACAAATACCCTACTCCAAGCCCAGGCACTATGGCTGCACTGGACCCACATTTCAGGTATCAGAGCCATCACCTCAGTGAGCAACTTCATATTCCTGGGCTAAAAGCCAAACACTCACTGTTCATGCCTGTACTCCAGGTACCAAACCAGCTATCACATAGAGTTATGCCCCACCTCTACCTAGGAGCCTCTCTAATTCTACAAATACCTGTACTCCCAATTTTTATCTCCACTGATGTGTTCACAAGCCTCTAGGCCTCACATACTGTCACCAACATGGCAGGTGAGGTGCCTACACCACAAATATCAGTGCCATTATGGACCAAGATGCCAGAGCCATACTCCCTCCACAAGGACCCAGGCTTCAGGCCTCAACGCCAAGGCCATGCCACAGGCAACACACATCACACACTGGTATCACTGCTATTGCAAGCAAGTGCACAAGCCATACCCAGTACCAAGAGGAATCTCTGCTCAGCCACAACTTCCTGGTAGGAGTAAAAAATATCACAAAGTTCACAAGGACCTTAGCAGCCATTGTCACCAAGGACTCCAACAACCCTTGCTGCCACTGCAGACATCAGTATTAGCCACTAAGGATCCACAATATTAGCCATTAAGCATCCCTCCAATCTTGGTCTAAAATCAACCTCAGCTGACAGAGCTACACAGATTACCCAGCTTGCACCCTCACTGGTGCCAGAACTGTTGTGCCCTAACCAATAAGCACCCTCGTAAGGTGAAGGTCTTTCCACAACAAAACTAGCCCAAAATGTCTGCTAGGGGTAACTACTCCGCCAAATGCTCACACGTCAATATAATGCAACAAGAATCATGAAAAACCAAGGAGACATAACACTACCAAAAGAACACAATCTCCCAATGCCTGACCCCAAATAAATGAAGATATATAAACTGCTCAACAAAGAAATCAGAATAGTCATTTTAAGTGAGAACAGTGAACTTCAAGAAAATAAATGACCAAAATGAGAAAACTAACAGATTGAAATTATAAAAAGAAACAAATTCTGAAGCTGAAAAATACAATGAATGAAATTAAAAATTTAACAGAGAGTATCAACAACATTGGCACTGATCAAGCAGATCTGTGATCTTAAAGATAAGTTAGTTAAAAAATATATTGTCGGCCGGGCACGGTGGCTCACGCCTGTAATCCCAGCACTTTGGGAGGCCAAGGCGGGTGGATCACGAGGTCAAGAGATGGAGACCATCCTGGTCAACAAGGTGAAACCCCGTCTCTACTAAAAAAAATACAAAAATTAGCTGGGCGTGGTGGTGCGTGCCTGTAGTCCCAGCTATTCGGGAGGCTGAGGCAGGACAATTACTCGAACCCAGGAAGCAGAGGTTGCGGTGAGCCAAGATTGTGCCATTGTACTCCAGTCTGGATAACAA